TTTCTCTGTTTATATAGGATAGCTGCTTGCGACCCACCACCAAAACATTTAGACCGAAGAAATAATAAATCTGTGTCATCTGGAAAATTCACCCGATTTATAAAACCTCTGGGCTATTAGATGAGGAGATGGATACATCAAATGATATTTCAGTGGCCAATAGTAGCTAATCACACCTTCCACATCTCATGGGTCGAATCATAAAGAAACAAATCAGATTTAACCAATACATAAAGCATGCAAGCAAGAGGAAACAGGAATTTAACCAACAGCAATATAGAGTGGAGGCCAAGCCACAAGCTGCTGCTTCTGTGCTCTCCCCAATGATGAGATTTGGTCGCTGCCTAAGTACCATATTTGGGGAAGAGACTTTTTGCATAAAGAAGATTAGTGTTAGTTGTTTAAGGGCTTGGGGGAGAAGATTTACCATTATTACCAACCCCAGTGAAAAGAGTGAAAGCCGAACACAATCTGATGCCAACACTTGCCAAGGCAGAAAAATGTTAATTGAACCAAGCCACACACCATATGGGAGAGATTATGATGTGTGCGGGTCATGAAGAGAATGACAAAGATTAGATGGCCTCGGAGAGTGATAGACGATTGAGAGAGATTAACAATATAGAGCACAGATCGGGACTGTCAGAACAGAGAGGTGGCACCAGCCTATTAGCCTTTAAAGTTATGCAACGCCACAAGTCTGATTGTTTAAGTCTTTAGAAGTAGAGCAAATCTGGAAAAATACAGCTGCCCTGGGCATTTAGTGGAGCAGAGAGTCCTGAGGCCTGAATTAAAAAAGTCATTTTTGTGATGCAATCATCTAACCCATGAGAGGAATAATGTCTAACCAATGGGAGAGGAGCAGAGAGCATTAATTTGCTAGCAAACACCAGCTCATTGTTACAAAGTTACATCAGAAATCAAAGGGGAATAGTTGGAGCAAGAGCTCTGTTTGTCTAATTGCAAGTGCAGAGTGAAGTTGAAAGCAGAGTTCTTGTCAATTCTCAAAGGCTTAACAGACAACTTTGGACTCAGATCCACATTCACAGATGTCACTGGCTATCAGCATACGTATGCATCAAGTCTAAATAACTTATGAGTTTGTTAGGTAGACGAGAAGCCAAATATAACAATCTCCCACTCTTCAGTCATTAGCTCTGTGCCCATTTCGCATTCGTCTGCGCCAAAGACGACATCATGCCAACAGTACATGCTTTCAGATGCAGCAGTGGTCCAACTTAATCACTCATCTGTCGCTGACCTGCACAGTCGAGAGAGAGAGAGAGAGAGAGAGAGAGAGAGAGAGAGAGAGAGAGGCACTGGCCAACCAAACTGGATTAACATGATTTTGATGAAACAGAGTTGTCTCATGTGGACACCCAGCCCTCTGTCCTCAGTACCGCCTTTATAAGAAGAGAAAAAATAATCCCATATTTAGATGTATAAAGGTACTGTGTAAATATCACAACAGATTGAAAAAGTCTCTTAAGGACACTATTTTCCAATGACACTCAATAGAAAATCACTATTGAAAACATGGGCGCACATACTGTATGTCCCTAAGGGGTGTTGCAGGATACTGATGAGGTGAATACAAGTACCTCAGACACAGTCACTCACTATAGGAACATTAATGGAATTAAATAGTAAGTTTTGGTTGTTGCCAGGAGTCAAAGGTTATCCTGCAGCCACTGACTTACCTACAGCAACTAAGCTACACAGTTGCTATGATAAGATATTATCGCATGACATCCACATGTATTAAATATCCGCATTTCTTATGCTGGCTGTCTTTAATGAAGTAAAATGGTTATTTGGTCATCTTTTAGAAAGAATCAAAACTACATGCTCCATAGGTGCCATGAGAGATTACAAATATTAACAATTATGATAAAGCCACAAAAAGTCCAAGTATTTTCTTTTTTAAATTACAGATACAAATGGAGTGCATTAATCCCAATGGGAAATGAGCATCAACCTTGGAATTGCAATCGCAGGGTTTATTAAAACAGGGGATGATTGCACAGTGGCGGTCTGTACATTAACAGTCAATAGGAGCACAACTAACACAAAAAGATCTGACAATCTTGCCACTTACCAATTCTCAGGACTTGCTGTGAAGTGAGCCAAAACTCTGCCATAAAGTACAGCAGTGAAAATAACAGTCCCTTCCTTTTCGCCATGGTCCTCCCTCCAGAGTCGAATTTAACATTGATATCAGTTTTTTTGCCCTCTGTAATTCATGCTGATAACTTGCCAGTCCTTGTATCCGTAACGAAAATAAACTGGCATCCGATCCACATCCATCCCTCACACATTGTGATGAGAAAAACACAACAACAACAACAAAAAACACACACTCCACTTGCAGTTGTCACTGCTCAAAAGAACTCCAGTTTTTCCATTCTAAAATCCTCCATGTGCCAGTGAGGTTTTGCCTCCCATATTCACTGTGCAGACATCCCTTTTTATCATGTTTTTTTTCCCGGTGCACACTTGAATTGTAGGCTGCAAGTGAGGAGGAGGACTGTGCGCTGCGTTTCTGCTGTCAAGTACGCAAGAACAGAAAACGTCAATCCTGTTTACAACTTTCAAAATAAAAGCTGAATTGGCAACCATGTGGCAGCAACAGAAAAAAAAATCAACATCTGTAATGAGTAATATGTGTCAAGTATTTCAGCCATTAGATTTGTATTTTAAACAAATTTAACAATATATCAAGTGGTATTTGTAGTTGCATATGTTTATAAATAATTTTCCACCAGATATTTTTGTATATTACTTTTCTTTTTATCATAAAAATCTGACCCTTAATTAGCCTTTTCTCCAGAGCTGTGCCAGGATATATTTGTGTGTTTTTTGTTTATTTAATTCTCTATCATTTGTATTTTTTCCTACATACAAGTAATTCCCATATTCAACTAATCATATATTACTTATAATTCGAATTCCCAAATCCCAGAATCTTTAGTCATGACAATAATCTGTTTAAATTATTAGGTGTTTTTTTCTGCATCTTTACCCATTATTTGAATGCTTTTATTGTGAAATCATGCTTGTCCTCTTTCTGGTCTCACCCTCACTGTCTTTGGCTGACTTGACATGACTGAGCATCCCTCCCGTGCAGGCGCTCAATTGAGGGCACAGCCAAGCCGCTGATCCGCAAACATGGATACGTCCTGAAGATTAACTTCAAATCTGGCAACATTCGACCTCGACAACGTCTTTGCTTTGGTACACCGAGGAATGATTAAATCTTTGCTCCAGTCCTGATGGAAACGCAAATCTAATCTTCAAACTGGTCGTTGACGCTCCCTTGAAGATTAACTACCTCAAACTGTTTATTTGACACAGTCTCATAGTAAAATAAAATGTGTTCACATTACCTTAAACCACTTTGCATATTTCCTTGAAGCAGAGCGGTTTGGGGTGAAAGTTAAAAAAGTTTTGTCACACTGATCAGTAACTGGTGATAAGTAACTAAAGTAGCTGATGATGCTCCAAACCACTTCTCTCTAGCCAAGGGAGAAGCATCATGGGTGCTTGTTGCATTTTTGGGATTAGTATAATCTCACTATTATTTAATTCCCCTGAAATTAACCAAATTAGACACCGATAGTTGAGAATGATTTCCCTTCTCACAAACTGACAGCAAGAATATCCTCAACTGGGGTTTTCCGGGAAAAAATATTCTAACAAAAGGTCCTGTGTAATTTGAAGTCTACTTAAGATGAAAAAGCAAAATGCATGAAGATGATCTGTGGTAGTACACTGGAAAATGAAATAGTACAGTACTGAAATACTGATATATACTGAAATAAAACAGTTTAGCAGGGAAAAGGAGCATAATGTGGAATCCTTGTTTAGACAGAAATCCAATATTACTAAAACTGTGATTTTATCAAAAAATAATATCTCCTAATGTTTAAAGTCCAGATGGATAATGTATTCAATCCACCATTTTTATCATTTTCCATTTGCATTTGCATTTCAATTTATTGTATTAATAGAAAGTTATCCAATTAAAACTACAGCTAATGAAATGCAGTGGAAGGGAGGCATTATTCTTCTGACACCTGCAGTGTGAGTAGGGGGGATTGCACCATCTGTTCGGGGTTCAGGACACTCAGCACGTTCTCTGGTGTCATCTAGTGGTGAATAATGTCAGTGACTGGGATCAGTTCAGGCCATCATGGTGAGCATTGTCAGGAAGTTTGAACTGCTAGGATGTGATTGGTTTTGTCAAGCAATAATCACAACACATGAAATATTTGCTGTTGTTGATACAAAGCAGATTCATATATTCAAACTTCAATACACTGATTCAACATCAGTACCATCATACTTGTTTATTTCTGCACTGTATCACAGAAAGTCTAACTTATCCTAGAAGCTAACATGGACAATATGCAGGAGATAATGCAGCCTTTCAGTCACCTAAACTGCATATCTGTACAGAACTGCTGCCCACTACGGAAATGTAATAATGCCACACAAAGCCAAACTTGCTGAGTGAACTATTGCTTCCTACAAACTGCATTTGCCAATTTACTAAGCATTTGTAAATCAAAATGTCCTTTTTAATGATCATCGCTAATACAAACAATAACAAACAACCATAAATAAGTTATTTGATTATATATTTAAGCACTACTGAGCATTCCGTTATCATTTTCATGGCTACAAATTGAATGGCTGAAAAGGCATCTTGATAGTAAAAGACATGAAAAAACACACTGAAACATGTACAGTGATAACCACAACAAATTAAAAAATATAATGAACAGATGGTTACAAAGATGCAAAACATTAGGCTATGCAGTTCCAAACAGACGATTTCTCATTAATCTATTTTGGGGAAATAATCCCATGCGAGAGCTTCATGAAAATAGCACAATGTCACCTTTATTTACACTAACAGCAACAGCAGTTATATTCGACATGATCACACAACCCATGTATATTATAAGGGTATTAATAGCAGAAAAAAATGTTGAAGATGCTATTTAGTCTGTCCATCTGGATAATCCTAATATAAAAAGAGATTATTTACCTTCACCAGAAGTTTAAATGAGCTTGTGATGCTGGAGTTTAAAAGCATAGTGCTTTGTGTCTGTAAAGTTTAATCGGCTACAAAATCCCACTCATGATTTTGCATTATATGTACACACCAGCACTGCTCCCACTGTGAGACTCCGGTTGAATTTTTGATGCTTTATATCCTATGAAAACAGGAGTGTGTGGAACAGGATGAAAGCTGGACTGGTAAGACGCAGTGGGATTGCCGATGTAAGTCAGTGAATATGGCGTGGTGTTTTGGCTTATGTACAAGGAGTTCCCTGGAGCATAGATGCTTCCAGCATGGTTAGAACTCCGCATGGAGGAATGGTGAGCCATGCTTCCTTGATATAACAATGACGCATTTTCAGGTAGACTCGGGTTATAGACAACAGGAGGGTTGATTAGTGCTCCATCATTTGTCATTAACTGAGGAACATTTTCCAGTGGCATTGCAAGCTGCGGTTCAGCAGAGCCATTATTCAGCAGAGAGGGCTGGTATCTAGTCGATCTGAGGCTTGAAACACTTGAGATAGGATGATACCTCATCAGAGTTGGCTTGCTGGGTGTTGGCTTGTAACCAAGCAGGTTGGCTGGGTGGTACACTTCAAATGAACCCTTGTCTGAGGGCAAACGGCGGCAGACAAACAACATGGCTGAAGCGAAAAGGAAGGCACCAGTCACCCATCCGATGTAAAGAGCTTCTCCCAGCTCCCTTCTCTCGGCATCAATCAGCAAAGGATTGTAGAAATCTCTGATGATGACATGACCTGTCCATGAGACAGGGATAAAAACACAAATGCATGCCATGAACTGCATAACACCTGCAACCATCAGGATAATGGCCTTAGCCCGATCATTACCCTGAAAACAGGAAATACACCGCATTCCTCCCATAGCCACAAGGAGCCCTAGTCCCGACAAGGCCAGAGAACAGCACATCAGACCCCTGGCTGCCTGTAATTCCGGGGGCAGGAACAGCAGTGAGTCGTACACCTTACACTGCATCCTGATGTTGGCCTGTCGGTAGCAGTTCATCCACAAGCCCTCCCAGCGGGTTTCCATCACAATTATGTTCGCTCCAATGAAAGCAGTCACCTTCCACATAGGCATCCCCGTTGTAGCCGCCGCGCCAATCAGTCCGATCAGGCCGACACACACTGCGGCTACCTCTGAAACACCTTGAACCATTGTGCAGTGTGTGAGAATTCAGCTGTGTCCAAATCCAAAATTAGGAATTCAAATTCTGATTCATTAGTATAACACATCAGATTCAGAGACGTGTTTAAGGCGGTGAAGATCTTCTCATCTGATGCAGTTTGTATGTTATGAGAGGTGGTTTGTTATGGGAAAGATATCTTGCGGTCATCTGGTTGGCCCAGAGCAATGGGGGTAAAGAGGATCTCTGCTTATTTTGTGTTTATGGTTCCTCTGGCACTTGTACTGTATCTGTGCCATCAGCTTCTCCAGCAGTAAACGACAACACCAGAAACAGCTCATGTCAGAAATAATTTTATCACTTGCCATGTTTTTATTCTCCATATTATGTGTGATTAAAAATTGAGAAGCAAACAAATATGCAATGCAGCACAGAAGCTCCTTCAGTACTTCTGTTGTCCACAGGGGAGCAGAGATGACCTTTCAGAGTTAATGAAACAGAGAGGGAGCTCGTCACACTGTCCAAATAGAGTTACTGATTGTTGAGGACCAGACATACAGTTTTATAAATCACAAGTTAACATTTCGTATAACAAGTTTGCATATATTCCATAATTGTGTAACTCTAGTGCTGCTGAGCAGGCATAACATAGAAAAACAGATCCTTCATTTTAGTGTTACGTTAAGCAACAATAGAGACAACATTGTCATTCTACCATTATAATTTTAATGCAGTTTGCTGTTGAACTCACTGAAAGTGAAATGACGTGACCTGGTAGTACAAGAACTAATATGCTTGACTGAAGAGAGATAGAAATGTTCTCTCACTGCTCAAACGTATGAATCTGGAGTCAACCAGGAAATTAACTACAGAAGATTTGGCCTAATACTATCTGTGTCTCAGTTCAAAGTGACTTGCAAATTCTGATCACATGATCATGCTGTCAGGTCGTCTCTGTCTGGTTTCTTCGTAAACACTAAGCTTTCTGGCTAAGATGCCTCAGTGTCCACACCTTTAGCAAGCAGCCTTAAACCTGCATCTCATGTTTACTCAGTACCATCAGTTGACAAGTGCTCCAGGGCATCATACCAAACTTCAAAACTTACAATTGTTTTTCTGTTAAACATACATACACACAATGTTTTGAGCTGTAGATTCAAATGTCTGTGTAATTCTCACGTAATCCGTCCAATATATACCATATACTGTATGAAGTGTAGTACCTGTAACACGCCTGCTTTGGTTGCCTTTTGTGTATTATGTGTCTAATACTGGCTGAAACTAGCTAAAACTGGGTAAAACTGAGAAGCAAAATATGAGGACTGGCTGTACAGGGGGGTTGTGTAAAATTTTGCTCTCAGCTCAGGCATAGTTTATGTTGAAGGTTGAAGGAAATTGGTTTTGAAATATCCTAAGTATTAACTGTCTTAGTAACTACACAGCTTAGTGCTATGTGCCAACAACAATTTGCAATTTAACAGTAAAGGCAAATACACTTGTGCCATGTCACTTAGTGGTTAAACGCTATGTACAACATACACATAGAAAGTAGTTAAACTGATGTACAAAAACAAGGCTATAAGTATAAAATAAAACACCCATAATAGTAATGGAAAGAATTAGCTTACACAGGCAAGGTTATAATCATGTTATAGGTTGTTATAGTGCTCTTTAAGAAGACGTTATGTACTCCTTAAATAATATACAAAAAGAGGTGGTTTCAAAAGGACATCCACATGAATCAGATCCATTTTCATTCACAGTAAATGTTTCATTGAAATGTGTTTTTTAACCTGAAATACATCTGTTGATAGCTGAAATGTGTCATAGATTGCACTGCTAAGCAGACCCATATTTAAAAGAAATTTCCTTGCATACAGTGACCATAACAGATCATCATTGCCTCAGTCAGTTTAAGTGTTCAGAGATAAGCCACCCCGCTGTGTACAGAGGGGTGTCTGGAGTGGTAGGTGTAGATACTTGATGGGTGTCTGGACAGCACTGGCTGTGGTCGGGGTTGTGGTTGGGGAAGTAGCACCAGCTGCTGAGGCTGGAGAGGCTGTGGAGGATAGGCTGTGTAGTCGGAGGCCCTGGAGTACACGTACCTCTCTGAACCTTTGTCTTCAGACTGCAGATTGCAGCAAGTAAACATGCATCCTCCTGCGAACAAAAAAGCAGAGGCCACCCAGCCGATGTACAGAGCCTCTCCAAGCTCCCTGCGCTGAGCGTCGATCAGCAAGGGGTTGTAGAAGTCCCTGATGATGACGTGACCCGTCCACGACACAGGGATAAGGACGCAGATACAAGCCATTAAGATCATGATTCCTGCTATGATGAGGACCAGTCGCTTAGCTCGATCGTTGTTTTCAATGCACGACGTGCATTGCAGCCCCACCAAACTGATCAGCAGACCAAGGCCACCCAGCGCCAGAGCACAGCACATGAGCCCCCGTGCTGCCTGTAGGTCAGGTGGTAGGGCCAGGAGAGAGTCATACACCTTGCACTGCATCCTGATGTCGGCCTGCCGGAAGCAATTCATCCATAGACCCTCGTAGCGGGTCTCAAACACAATAATGTTCTCCCCAATGAAAGCCGTGACTCGCCACATCGGCATCCCAGTGCTTGCTGCCGCCCCAATCAGCCCAATCAGGGTCAATAAAAGACCCACAATCTCCAGTGCTGTGTTGGCCATCCTGTTTTTTTCTTATTCCTCCAAGCTTATACATATAAAAATGCGTGGACGCAGTGTGAATATACTTGGATGCAGTATGGAGTGGCTTTGCATCCCAATGGAGGAGGAGGGGCGGGTTGATGTTCACCTGTACAGTCTCCTCCCTGTTGACAGTACACCAGAATGAAAGGGGTGTGAATTGCAACCTGTTGCTATGAAACAGAATCCCCCAGGCCTTTTGTTCTTTGTACACCTCCCCCAGGAGCTGCCGTGCTGCCACTTTGTTTATTCACACATCTCAGTTTACATTCTCAGATCCCACTTCACAAGGAACCTTAAAAAAAAACTTGGTAGTTTTATTAGCAAGGGAGACATTTTCAAGTTCACCGATTTGTAACTAGCTATCTGCATATAAAAAAGACTTTGTTAATGTATTACCGGTCATAACTACAGATATCACAGACATCAATCAGCTCTGGATCTTAACCAATTCTTTGTCATATTTTGAACTCAAAAACACTGACCAATGTGGAGTCGTGAATGATAAAAATTGTAACTGTAGTGGGACTATAGAAATAAAATATTAGCAAAAATGAACATTTAGAAACTGTGAAACACATGATCCGTTGCTGTGTTTGTGACATGGACATTTGTGTACGGATTAGTCACTGTCAGTATCGGATTTCTTGTCTGAGTCTCTTGTTTGTGTCAGTTAAAAGCTGGCCGTTGCAGCTCTGACTTGGTTAAAATAAAATCTTTTGGTAGGTTTGCGTTGGGTGGACCTGCGTCAGCAGTCTGGTTTTACCAGTTCAGGCACATTTCTACTGAAAACAATGGAGACAACATCACAACTTTACATTTGAATTCCAGGCAAACCCAAGAGCTTCTGACAGGAAGTGAAAAAATGGCCATCATGTAAGCCGTAGTTTACCCTTAATTGTTGATCATTTTAGTTGCTCTTAATTAGGCACCAGGAAAAAGAAACAAAATCCTCCTTTTTTCTGAACATTATTCCTTTATTAGAAACCATAATTGAGTTTATGTTTAAGCCAACATTTTAAAGTAGTTTGTACATTTATTTAGGCCAACATTTTGAAAAAGTATGTACAGTTATAACAGAAACCAAACAGTGAACATAAATCATCTGGAGGTCTGAAAAAGACTTAGTGCATAATGTCTTAAAGAACATGTCAGCAGAGGCTGTAAATACATTGATCTAACAAATAGCTATTGTATTATTACAGATTAAAAATGTTGTGCCTGAATGACTGATGTAATTAATTGTAAATTAAGCATATGGTAACAAACAACGCATGCAGTAATTCAGCACATGATCAAAACACAGTTAGTTTCACAATGAATTTCAAACTCTGCAATATACTTGGCCCTCTTTGAGAAAGTAACGAAAGATTTGGCCATCTCCAGTGGCAGCCTCTGGTCATATTTGTCAGTTGATTCTCAAATGCACCAAATCCTGGCAAGATAAAAAAAAAAAAAAAAAAACAAGTCCAAAATTGTCTCTTTGTTTGATTTCACCACACTAGTACTGGCTTGGTGTATATACTACAGATCCTGGTGGTGGTACTGAGTAGGGAGGCTGGTAGGTGTACGCTGGCTGGTACGTGTACGGCTGGTATGTGTATGCAGGTTGGTAAACATTTCCCTCAGGGTTGTACACAATCCTCTCCTCTGGATCCTGGGTACGGGGAGCATGACGGCACAGCAGGATCACCCCGGCACTGAAAAGCAAACCTGAGGTCGCCCAGCCGATATAAAGAGCCTCCCCAAGCTCCCTGCGCTGGGCATCAATCAGCAGAGGGTTGTAGAAATCCCTGATGATGACATGGCCGGTCCAGGACACCGGGATTAGGGTAGTGATACAGCCCAAGAGGAAGAGACAGCCTCCCGCCACAAGAACAATATGCTTGGTGCGAGCCCGATGGTCCACCACTCTGGTACACTTCATCCCCACTGCTGAAACTATGAGGGCGAAGGTGGTCACGGCCACAGAGCTACACATCAGACCCCTAGCAGCCTGGAGGTCAGGTGGCAGAAACAGCAGGGAATCATACACCTTACACTGCATCCTGATGTTCGCTTGTCTGTAGCAGTTCATCCATAATCCCTCCCAGCGGGTCTCCATGACAATGATGTTCGCATCGATGAAGGCTGTTACCTTCCACATCGGCAGGCCTGTCACGGCTGCCACTCCGATTAGTCCAATGAAACCGATGACGAGGGCCACTACCTCACAACAAATGGCATTCCGGCTTTTCCTCTTCTCATTTCTCTTTTTTTCCTCATATACAGAGTCTTGGTAATCTGTATAGGCCTTGGCCTGTTTCTCATCATAGTAAGAGCCTACGTAAGATTGAGGTGGCTTGCTGTAGCCACTGTAGGCAGTGTAAGAGGCCATTGTGGCTTTTTGGCTGCACTCTCGCAGCTTGAGAAACAAAACTGAGGAGAAGAACAAGACGAGGAACTTATACACCCACAAAAAAATGCTAATGATGCAATGCAACCTTACTGGTTGAGCTGCTTCAGGTTCATCAGATAGATGGGGACACACCAAAGAGTGTTGCTGGTTTTGAATGCAAAAACAACTGACGACATTCAAACAACCGTTTGGTCTTGTGATTGATCAAAAACAGATTAAATCACTGTATTAAGTCATGTTTGATCATAGTATGTTTCCTCTCTTTTAAACTCTTAACATTTCAACACATTTTCAGTACTACACAGCATAATGTTTTTTGTAAACTGAAGAATATAATTTAGACAGCAAACAGGATAGCTAAAATCTGCTATAACCAGATTAAATGCATAAAATCTCATTGCTGTTACTGGATGGAATTTGGAGATAAAAATCAACAAATTATATGTCCTTTTTAATTTTAAAATGAAACAGATTTTGAAACACAGTAACATGTGAAACAAGAAAATTATACTGTAGTGTCTTTCCTTTTTATGTAGGTAAAGTTATGGAGGTGATGGCCGCACTAATCTGTATAGGTAAAGAATCTGTTGTCTCTGTCAGACCGAAACCTGACAGAATGATCACAGTTATCAAACTCCTCCTCTAACTGAGCCTCCTAACTGAGCTGATAAAAAGGTGTTGAGCACAGAAATGTGAGGAGGATTGATTTCATTGTAACACAGTAGCTATTGTCCATTTGCCAGCAGTTCTCACCTTGCACTGCCACACTGAAGTCTTCCTGCCTTTGGTAGATAGTCTGTGCATGCACTGCTTGAGTTTTTCTATTCAGCTGCATTTAGTAAGGAAACTGAATGGTATAACTGACAAGTATCTGGGGTGTTAGCTGTGGTTGGTTAAAAGTTTGTATTTCATGTTTTTTTAGGCAAGCATGATAGAAATATACACACTAGAAAAGACATGCAATCGCACAAGCAAATTTAGAATCAAAGCTTTATTGATCTATTGACTTGGTTGACTACTTGCCGATTAGACATTACCAAATCAAAATTATTAATTAAAAGTGAAGGTTGACAAATGACAAAAATGTAAACGTAAAAGTACAATAAAAACAACATGACCATACTCAATTGCAAAAAAACCCCAAAACAATTGTATCTCTTAAATTAACAGCATATAAACATGTCCAGTTATGAATAGTTTTATATGTTAAACAAATAAAACACATAACTCAATGTTTTGTTGCAACTGTGAAGGATTTGGGAAGAAGACAAACAATGTAGATAAGAACATTTATAGTTCAATGAGTATACAAAGTACAGTCATCACTTTAACAGTCACAGTGACTTAAAATGTGTACATACATTGTAAAAACAAATACATGAATACATAATTTGCACACCCTTGACATGATGTTGTGACCTCAGGCAGCATCCTTTTTACATTAGAAACATTAGAGACATGTAAAAATGGAATTTGCACATTGCAGTTACAGGTACAGTTCTTTACACATATTCTTGATGTTTGTGAAAGCTGGACGGCGTCCGCTGCAAGTAGACGCTACCCTCTTTCTGTGATTCCCTCACTGCCAGCAGATGTGCATCAGCGTAGGGCTCTTCATCCTTTGATGCACGTTTGCTGTAACTGAACAGAATGAGGATCCCAGTGATCAGCAAAACACCAGAAGTGGCCCAGCCTATGAAGAGGGCGCTCCCCAGCTCCCGTTTCTGAGCATCACTAAACAGTGGGTTGTAGAAGTTATTGATGACAGTAAAGCCAACCCAGCTGACGGGGATGAGTGTGGTCAAACAGGACAGCAGATACAAACCACCCCCTAGGGCCAGGGTGACGTTCTTGCCCTTTATGTTGTCACCCCAACACTTGCTCTGCCGGGTCCCACATCCTGTGATCAACAAGGAGATGACGACCAGAATTATGGAGACAACCATGAGTCCCCTGGATGCCTGCAGCTCCGGTGGGAGGATTAGCATTGACTCATACATCTTGCACTGCATCTTGATGTCTGCTTGTCTCCAGCAGTTCATCCACAAGCCCTCCCAGAGATCCTCCATGACAACAAGATTGGCACCAATAAAGGCTGAGACCTTCCACGTGGGCAGTGCAGTGGTAGTTATTGTCCCAAACAGGCCGATGAAGCCCAGGACGAGGGCGAAGACCTCCAACTTTGCCCTCATGGTTCAGTGGGAACTGCAATCTCGTCTCTCTCGTCTGTCAAATGAATTGACCAACTAATGAGCTCTGCAGAGCTGTAAATCTGTGATAATATCACCCTGCCTACAATGTCATCATACTGGTTTGTGTGCCTGACCTTGATTCCTGCCAGTGTATCAGACGTAACTCAAAAAACTACCGTGTGTTTCTTCTGTCTTCAGAAAACAAATGAAAGACAAACACGTGTTTAATAATTGTTATGATAACTCGCCATGCTTGACAAGCATCAATGAAAAGTGGCTATGTTGCCATTCAAAAGTCACGCAAGGTCAGTTTCAGTGACATTCAAATTTACAGTCTTCTGTAAAGTCTTCAATCTTTTGTAGCTCCATACTGTATCCAATTTACTCCTGGAATAATCAGTAATTCAGCTTCCATTCAATTTCCATGATGGGTAAAGTATGTCAGACTACTGAAAAATTAGGACAATATAAGATATTTGACCCATCATATCATTTTTTTTTTTCAAAATTAGTCAGCAACACTGGAGTGAAATATATTATTGTCACAGGAAAAAAATGGCATGCATGGTCAACACACAAACCCATTGTTTTCTATGCAAGACCACCCACAGCATCTTGATGCGCATCAACTTGATATGTATTGTTTTTCTAGGGAGTGTGTGATAGATCTGTAAACATCTCTATGGTTGAAGTGTGAGGCTCATTAACTCTCTTCATTAAAGATGAAGAATTGACAGTGTCCCTCATTTAAGTAAAAAAAAAAACAAAACAACAAATTCCACCTTGGCCATACTTATTAGAAAGAGATGAGTAAAAAATCAGTCAGTCAGCCAGTCTGTATATTGAGGGATTTTCTGTTCAACTGACCTGCCTGTTCTAACTTTCAAATGAATAAACACTTATTCGATAGAGTCTAGACACCATTTATACCGCCATGATATAATGACAGTGTTAACTTACATCAACTAAGACTAAAGATTTTTTTAATTTATATGAATAGGTACATGACCGGATTTCACATCAGAAGGAAATGTTTGACAACAATAGGGGATTACACAGATCAAGAGCCACTCCTTTTTTTTCAGGAAGAACTTCAGCTGGTCTGGGAAAGGTTACACCATGTTGGTCAACCTGTTTCTGAGAGACAGAAACGGAAAGAGAGAGATTGATGTAGCAGGAGGGGTCATAAAACAGGAACAGAAACTGAAGAGCCAGTTGAACAGGTTTGCTGAGTGATACTATCATCACATCCTCAGCGGCTTAAAATGTAAACAGATACACTCTCGCAGAGGAACCTAAAGCTGTGAACTCAAATACATCAAATCGGTACTGTGAAGTAATTTCTGTAGACATGTAAGGTGCTTGTTTTGCAGAGGTGGATTTTGATTTGAGATGGATTTGATTAAACCAATGATGATGTGATTAAACTAAGATTAAATGGAAGTAACTGAATACACACAGATGTAAGTTGGTCTAGTGGCACAGGCAGCAATGTACAACTACAACAGGATGCTGCCACCTGCTGTATGTAGATATGACTGCACATTCCTGGGCCACAATAAGATTGATTGAACATTTTGCAAATATTCAAAAGAAATGTGATAACATGTAATTCCTATTTCCTTCTCATTCCTACTTCTTCTAATTCAGTGAGCGTGTTTAGATTTAAGATTTAGAAATGATCTGTTAAGTCAAAGAGAGAACCCCTTGAATCAAACTTGTGCCATTTTTATCTCGGGGTAAGACGCGAGTCTGCTCTTTCAAAGGAAGGGCATTAGCAGAGCAGCTTTGTTTCATCCCAGCTCTCTGTCATTCTGCACCATCTCCTACTGATGGAGATCTAGGTGTTCTTTTTCCTTCATCTTGTGGGTGTGACCAGGTATTGAAATCAGTCTCATAAAATCAGTCTCATGAAGATCAGCCTCATAAATGATTAACCACCAAATCTAGTAAGATTATTTGTGCTTAACTTTAGTTAGTTCGATAACAACAGTTACCTCTGCTTAGTAAAATACAAAAAGGAGTTAGTTACATTTAAATGCAGTCATAATGATATTATGACAAGATGAAAGTTATCATAAAAGTTTAATTTAGACACTTGGTTGGAATCCTAAGTTTCCCACTTCTCACTCAAAATCTTTTATCTGCTCATTCTCTCTCTCTCTCTCTCTCTCTCTCTCTCTCTCTTTTTTTCTCTCTCTCTCTCACACACACACACACACATACTGACACACACACACGCACAATCTCTCTCCCACCCCCATCACTGCCTCACTCTCTTTCTCTCACACATACAAACACCTACACACACATACACACTCACATCTATACCTACATAGCGTATATATTTATATATATATATATATATAGTCTCACCACATGAGACTGATCTGAATACCAGGATGCACCTGCAATCTGAGGGAGCACCAGAGCCTTTGTAGTGGGGGTGGTGATTGACAAGAGTGAGGGGAGGGCTGGTGGGCCTGGGTGTCAGGATGTCCACAGAGCTCAGAGACATAAAAGAGGAGATAGGGCTGTGAGAACCATAGATTATAGTGTCGAGGGCATGTACAGCCAGGCTACATCTTGTCAGCTTGAAAATGCTGATGTAACTGGTCTTTGCCCTAACAGGATGTTGGAAATTGAAGACTACTGTTCATCTCTGATAATGAAGTGATCTGTGATGAGCATCCTGATTTTGACACTGTTTCTCTTGTCACATTATTTTGTAGTGTTAGTGACTGATGCACTAGAATTTCAGCTCCAGAAATCACTGACACTAGACAAAAAGAGGAAAGCACAAGTAGAACCTCATGAACACTCAAGGAAAGATACTACATGAGATGCAGCAGTTGCTGAACACACAGAAAAGAAAAAAAATGTTCTTAAATCAGAGATATTCTAAAAGAAAAAGGAGACCCCATGAGCCTGGCTAAATTTTTTGTTGTGGCTATGTATTGTATGCAAGGGCGTAGGTTTGCATATGGACGGTAGGGACATGTCCCTACCAATATTTGAGTAAAGTCGTTCGCACTATATTTAGAGTGAAGTTATATCAGATCATTCCAATGTGCCTTCCAAGAGGCTATGTCTCCAAGACAACCGATTTAGGCATGCTAGCATTTGAATGGCTGAAAGGGCGGTGGCTATCTGAAGGCTCACGTCATACTATAGTATGACGTTTTTATTCCTTACTATACTATGATGTTTTGTTGATATTCTAGGCCATACTATACTATGATTGTTTTTGCCTTAATATACCATGACGTTATTTGACATTATTAGTGCCTTACTATACTGTAGTTTTAGTGCCTTACTATATGACTTACTAAAATATGACTTTTTTATGCCTCACTTTAGTATTACTTTTTTATGCCTTACTATACTATAACGTTATTTGATGTTTTTATGCCATGCCTTATGACATTTATGTTAGATTTTACACCATATTGTACTATGACATTGTTTTACTACTATACCATGATGTTTTTTGACATTTTTAGTGCCTTACTGTATGACTTACTAAATATGACTTTTTTTATGCCTTATTATACTATGACGTTTTTATGCCTCACTATAGTATTACTTTTTTATGCCTTACTATACTATGATGTTATTTGATGTTTTTATGCCTTACTATACCATGACATTTGTGTTACATTTTACACATTATTATACTATGATGTTGTTTTACTACTATACTATGATGTTATTTGATGTTTTTATGCCTTACTATACCATGACATTTTTAGTGCCTTACTTATATGACTTACTGAAATATGACTTTTTTATGCCTTATTATACTATGACGTTTTCATACCTCGCTATAGTATTACTTTTTTATGCCTTACTATACCATGATGTTTTTATGCCTCGCTATAGTATTAGTTTTTTATGCTTTACTATACCATGACATTTGGATTACATTTTACACCTTATTATACTATGACGTTGTTTTACTACTATACTATGACATTATTTGATGTTTTTATGCCTTACTGTACCATGATGTTTTTGGTATTTTTATACCATACTATACTATGACGTTTTTTTTTGCATTTTTCTGCCATACTAAACTATGAAATTTTTTGACATTTCTATGGCTTAATTTACTATGTTGTTGTATTCCTTGCCATACTATGACATTTTTATGACCTTTTATGCCTTAATATACGATGATGTTTTTTTGATGTTTTATGCCATACTATAGTATGACATTTGCTGGCATTTTTATGCCTTACTATACTATGTCGTCTTATGTCTTACCATACTATGAGGTTTTTAAGACCTTTTATATCTTAATATACTATGATGTTTTTTTGACATTTTGTGCCATACTATACTATTGCGTTTTTTGAAATTTTTATACCTTTCTACACTATGTCGTTGTATTCCTTGCCATACTATGACATTTTTATGACCTTTTATGCCTTAATATACGATGATGTTTTTTTGATGTTTTATGCCATACTATAGTATGACATTTGCTGGCATTTTTATGCCTTACTATACTATGTCGTCTTATGTCTTAGCATACTATGAGGTTTTTAAGACCTTTTATACCTTAATATACTACGATGTTTTTTGACATTTTGTGCCATACTATACTATTGCGTTTTTTGAAATTTTTATACCTTTCTACACTATGTCGTTGTATTCCTTGCCATACTATGACATTTTTATGACCTTTTATGCCTTAATATACTATGAAGTTTTTTAACATTTTGTGCCATACTATACTATGACATTTCTTGGCATTTTTATAATGTTCTACACTATGTCGTTGTATTCCTTGCCATACTATGACGTTTTTATGACTTTTTATGCCATAATATACCATGACGTTTTTTTAACATTTTTATGCCATACTATATTTTGACTTTTCTTGGCATTTTTATGCCTTACTATACTATGTTGTCTTATGTCTTAGCATACTATGAGGTTTTTAAGACCTTTTATACCTTAATATACTGTGATGTTTTTTTGACATTTTGTGCCATACTATACTATTGCGTTTTTTTTTTATTTTTATACCTTTCTACACTATGTCGTTGTATTCCTTGCCATACTATGACAT